TAGGGTTTTAAATAATCTTAATAGATTTTCCTATTGCAACTGTAGGGTTAGCACAATAGGGCGCGACTTCCGCTAGAGCGACATAAAGTGCGATTCTTGCATAGCGATCCCGCGCTTTATGTTGCTCTCGCGCAAGTCGCGTCCTTCGTGCTAGCCCTACTGGTGTCAAATTCAGAGGGGCTATTTTTGTGGAATTGCATTCAATTCCTAGTAGTACCAACGTGTAGTATGTGCTGTCATTTAAAATCAAATACTAACCAACTAGCTTTTACGTACAAATATTGAGTGAGAGGATTTTGTATAGGTAATCTGTGTTTATTGTTGTACAATTCTCTACGTTCAATGGGAAACCTCGCAAATGTATGTAAATAGGTAAATGTATAATAGCTGTAAAGATAATGAAAAGATCATTTATTAGAGCCGACATCTATAAAGCTAATGACTTAAAGTCGTTTGCAATAAACGCTAATGCCGACATTACCGTCTCACATCGACGGCTCATACAAATTACTCGTGCTTTTAGTAAACTCATTGAAAGCTGGTTGCATACTTTACTAGTGCTTGTAAAACTACACTTGCCTTCTTTATGATGACCGGCACTTAGATTGTAAGGATTACTGTTGCACATTAAATACTTAATGTATCTACTTATAAATGCTAGAAATGACATATGAAAACGTATCAAACTCAAGACACCTACATAAGTACTTTTTACCTTAATCTCGACCGCACGATGTTGATGACATATCGTCATGTTTTGTTGAAAAGTTGTAAGCGACATTTCGAAAAAAAAAATCACGGGGCGTATGTTTTTAAAATTTCACCACTGTTTTAAAATATTTACGTCTCGTTTTAAATTCAGTTTTACGACTTAAGCATAATTAAAACCAATATTTAGTTTTAAAATAGGACGTAAATATTTTAAAACAAACGTTAACCCATTCTACTAAACACCGACGGTATGGTAATTTTTTAATAAAGATTACGAACGAAACCTTTATATAAGGTGTCAAGAAGTAAATTTTATTAAATATTTGCATTTGATTAGGGTGAAGTTAAAAAAACAATAATAATTTTATATATATATATATATATATATATATATATATATATATATATAATATATTTAGAATTTTGTTACTTAAGTTAGAAGATTTTTTTGTGGCCACATTTCATGTTAATAAAAATGGAATTAAATTAATTTGCTAACCTATATAGTGGAGATGAAACATTGAAAATAACTGCGATTGTGTTATATATTTTTTCATGCAGTTAATTTTTTAATAAGTTAAAAAATATTCGACACAAGCGCAACTAATTTGCATTTACTACCATTTTTATTAACATAGATATCCGCAAAGTAACGCCTGAATGTATTAATTACAATTTTTCATATTGTTAAGTAAACACGTAAGTGCATAAACACCTACGCATATTTTTTTATTTCCCTTCTAAAGAAGGTGTCAATTTCTAATGATGTGTACGACAAAGATGATACTCGTTTACAAATTCAATTATAATTATTGTTGATTGGATTAACTACATCCATTAATGCATTTATAAAATGTCTTAATAAGAAAGTCGTCAGTTCTCTGTAGAATTAATGTTCTTCAAACTCGGCATAAGCCATTTATCGTTTCAATTCATGGTCTCGATGAGCTTTCATAAAGAATGAATAAGAAAATTACTTACGGAGTATTAATCTTCAATTTTATTATCTTTTAAAAAAAACTGAGACAACGTGCGATTAAAATAACTCCTTATTTTTGAAAAACTTAAGGAGGTTACTTCGAGAACCACGAGGTCATGTAAGATGTATTTTAAGAACAAAAGATACATTTTGATTAAAGTTGTGGGTCAATGAGGAGTAAGAGCTTTTTATGTTGTATACGATGATGACTATTCGACTGAATACATAATTCACTTAAGTAGTATATAAATACTCTACCTACCTACTTTTGGTTAAATTTTTGAAGACATCTTTACGTATTTTTTTTTAAATAAAACTGTTTTTTTTTATGAAAATCGACTGACTCTCAGCCACAGACTAAACAAATATTACTCTCAGCCGTGACCACGGGACCTGCGAAGAACCCTAAATGTTGGTTTCTTTGAAATAATCTCAGTACAGAGTAGTAAACAAAGTGACCTCAAAAGTTCGTCGAATTACATCTATTTGCCAAGTTTTAATGAAATCTGTTAACGGAAAGTGCTCGAAACCGGATTCATCTCCTAGTATGCCACCCTTAGAGGTGGAGTATTTTCTTCAAATTTGAATGGGGCTACTACTGAGGTACCCTCTTCCCAACAAAAAACGGATCATCAAAATCGGTTCATAAATTGTTGCGTAACACATACAAAATAATACATACAGTCGAATTGAGAACCTCCTCCTTTTTTTCTAAGTCGGTTAAAAACAAATATACGTGATTTAAATCCAAAAAAATAGTTTCATTTTCCATGTGTAACAATAACGAAAACCAAAAAACTCGATATTTTAATTTTAACAATTGAATGTTTAATACGTGAAATCAATTTTTTTCCCACTTTTTTATTTTAAATCTATTTACTTCTTTTACAAAATAGGACAGCGTAAATGGAAAATAATAAGTACCTCAGTACATATAAAATCTTAGAGTCTATTTGGCGACATACTCAACAAAATTAAATGCAGTAAAACGTGCAAAAGCTGTGCAAGAAAGCAAGTAAAAACCGTAGTGTATGACAAAATTACAACTTTGCAGTAAAATTTATTTTAAATATATTTTGCTTTT